TATTATGATATTCTTCTCCATCTTCGGTATGTACTGCTAATTTCAATGTGGAACGAAACTCACTGAATTTTCGATATCTGAAGCATTCTTCATAACAGGATAGTTCGGCTCCAACAGTGGCATTTATAGTAGGGATAGTGCTGGATAACACACTGGAGGCCCGGACTTCTTTCTCCGACAGAGGGTTCTTATGGTTGAATCCTTTAAACAAGAATGATGCCAGAAATGAAGAGTTCTATAGCTTCCCTATCAGAGTGCATGAATGGATGCCGACCCGTTTCTTTAGATAATATTGCCAGCCTCCAAACATGTAAATTGCACATGTATGCATTCTCCAGAGTTTATTCTATATGTGCTCATACATGCTGAAAATTTATGTCTGATCCTTTACATACCAAATGTTTCCTAGTCAAATTCTTCTGAAGCACTTCAAATCTGGAATTCATGATAAAGGTAGTTATATCCACATAGCTTTGCTCGCGTTTGTCGATCAGCTGAGTTCTTATGCATAAACTAAATTCTTTTCAGCATTCTTAATTTTTTTTCTTTGTTCATGATATCATCTCCTGGTTCATAGCAGACAAGACATAATGTGTCGTCTACACCAACACATGACATTGACAGTGATAATGATCGCTATGTGGAGATCACTTTCAACATTGACATGGAAAAAGGACGAATCTTTATTCGAGATTAAGTTCTTCAACTTGCAGAAACTCTCTTATCTCAGTCACATAGCTTGTGCTTTTGTCTATGTAGATTTTTTATATAATAGTTATATCAATAATTAATTTATTTATATATCTAAGTTTAATTATTTAAATTGATGTTATACTTTATTATTAGTTAAAGGTTCAAAATCTCATTCGATACATTCTTAAATATCCTCGCTTGACTAGTGACAAGGAATATTCTGATAATCAATCTCAACTCGTTGGTTAGTCATCACAAAGAGGATGATATGGAAGACAAATGCTAAGTCACTCCTCCACTGGGTAGTGACATGGAGGCAATTACGATCTATCAATCGCCATGGACAATATTCTACGAGAGGTCGTTTGAACTGGTCCAATGGAGCACACTATAGCTTTCAGAGCTCAGATGTTATTATACGGTACCTATGATGTTCTGATGTGCCGAGCGTTCCCACTGACACTGAGAGGCTTTGTGTAAGAATGGAACGGTTGCTTGAAGTCACTCTCTCAGTTTTGTTCTTTGCTTAGCTCGTGAAGGAATTCGAGTTTCACTTCGTTAGGAACATACATCCGTGGCAATGTTACTCGAGTTGAGACAAAGAGATGATGAAACTCTCTTTAACTTCCTCATGTGGTTCGTTGGCAAAATATGAGGCGTGTAGAACGCCCACACCCTTTCTAGTGATATTGGACTTTATGATGGCCTAAGGTTCACCCGCTTCTTATGGTCATTAGTCGAGAGACCACCAATGATAATCCTCAAGATGTTCCATAGGGCCAATCAGTACATAACTATAGAAGCGATAATCTCGGGCAAGCACAAAGAAACTCACAAAAGGTCATTCCAAGAACCACCTCGGGCTCACCCCGTATTGGGTAGTGATATGGAGGCAATTATGACCTGTCAACCCTTGTGGACAATAGTCCACAAGGGGGCGTTCGAGCTGGCTCTGTTGGCCTTCGTGGATAGTGGTTTATGGGTGACTGTTCGAACTTGCTCCCCCCCCCCCTTGGTCGGCCCCGTGGATAACAATCAACGGGAGGCTATTTAGACCTGTAGCCCTCGTGGACAAAATGCTAAAGAGAGGGTATTACGATCGTTGCAAGTTCTTCCCTCGACTAAACAGGTATAAAAGTTGACCCCTGACACTAGCCTAGGGGTCGGACCTCTCTCCAAGAAATCCCTTTACATTACATAACACCTCAAAAATTAACTTGAGCATTAGAGGGGTCAAGTCGGAAAACTCCCTCCGATGCTGACCTTTGTGTAGGAATTTACCGACATTCCCGAGCCACTTGAAGACCATCTCGGGTATCTTAATGTCGCATCAACTATCTTGCAAGACTACCATGTGAGGTCATCATTGTGCCTTCGAGTCCGGATTAAATCGGGCCGACTCACAATCAATGATACTCTCTCCACAACGATTAGTAAAATTCTTGTAACAAACTCATTTAAGTCTTATTTTTAAAAATATTTATTTTTATAAACTTTAAATTATTTATTTATTTATCGATTTTGCTTCCGCTTTCCATATTATTAAAACATGAGGATAATTTTTTGTACTGTTATCAGCTAAACCTGTATTCTTTGAAAAAATAAAATATCATTAATACTAAATTGAGATTCCAAACTGATGGGTGAGAAGCAGTCCATTCCAAAATTGACGAGCCGATGAGCTATACCATTTGTGACTCTGAAACATACATCACATTGATTATTTGAAGGCATGAAAAAGAAATTAAATATTATCCAAAATATTCTCATTGGATCAAAAAATATTTATAACTTTTTAGCAAAATCGACTA